AGGGTCGCTATGAGTCACAAACAACTCAATGGCACCTAACAACAACAACATTGAGAAGGATGGAAATCTCTAAACAATTAATTGTGCTCATGTGGATTCTACACATACTCCAAGAAGCAGTCTCCTTATATTTTCAGTCTATGTGCAGAACAGATCATTGGGAGGCTGGACTTTATAAAGAAGAATATAGCATGAGTATTGGAGAGAGACTCATCAACAAGCTGCATTGTGGAGATGATACAACCTTGCTCACAGAATGAGGAAACTTAAATAAATGCTCAGCATTTCTCAAACTAAAATAACTAAAGAAGAAAATGAAGCCTCCAGATGCAATACTGAAGGACTCTATGGACATAGTTTGAATAACATATTGCTTCTGCTCATTGCCATCCAATCAGAACTAATTCACACTTGACTCTCCAACGAACTTTCAACAGCTGTAAATCAGACTGTACAAGACAGTCCATCTTTCTCCATAGGAGAAGCTGGTGGCTTTAACCCACTTAGTTTGGGATGTCAGTGCAGCTCTTTACCCCTTGGTTAACAGAGGTCCTTATCGAATGATATAGAAAGTATCAAAAGAAGGTGGAAGTCTCTGTACCAAAAAGAAATGGATGACATGGAATACTTCAGGAAGTAGCATATGATCAGCAACAAATGGTACTAAATGTAATAGTTAGGCTACACAGAGGACAATGACAAAAAAAAATAAAAGTTCCATGAAATGAAAGAATATTAATTGAAATGTTTCAGTAAACAAAATATATCCTGGGACATGTTCACTTGTCTATGCTACAAAATTTGAAGACAATTCCAAATTCCATAAATAGATGATCCAAAAGAAAGTAGAAACTATTGAAAAAATACCACATACAAGTAAAATCTTGCTGCTGTTGTTGTTATGTGCATGACTTACAGCAACACTATAAAGACTAACTCTGAACCCTGCTCTATTCAGAGCCAATCACACCATCTCTGACAACCTACCCCCATTGTCATAGTCACTGTGTCAATCCTTTTCACCCTGGGTCTTCCTGTCCTGTGTTGATCCCCTACCCTTCTATGTATGATATCCTTCTCCCAGGACTTGTGTCTTATGGCAACATGTCTAAAATATGTGTCAGAGTTTCAAAATCCTTGCCTCCAAGGAGCAATCTGGTTTCATCCTTTCCAGTACAGACCTGTTTCTTTCTTTATCAGTCCATGGTATGTTCAATAGTCTTCTCCAGCACCACAACTCAAAGGCATCAATTCTTCCTCTGTCATCCTTAGTCATTGTCAACCTCTCAGATGCATTGTAAGCAATTGAGAAGACCTTGGCCTGGATCAAGTGCACCTTAGTCTCTAAACTGATGTCATTACTCTTTAGCACTCTGGAAAGGTCCCTGACAGAAGACTTTCCTAAAGCGACTTGTCTTTTGATTTCCTGACTACTGGTGCCAAGAGTACTGACAGTGGATCTGAGCAAGATAAATTGTTAAAAACTTCAAACTTTTCTCCAGCTATCATGATGCTGTCAATTGGCCCAGTGGTAAGAATCTTTGCCTTCTTGATGTTAAGCTGCAATCTACATTGAAGACTATGGTCCTTGATTTAAAGCCTCTGAAAACCCACTGAAGGGTAACCTGAGAGTTGATTTCAACTAAATAGTAATGATAGACAGACAGACAGACTTGACCGATTTCTGTTACTCTTTGAGGATAATATTTTATGTATCATGATTATTTCTTGTTG